ATAAATAACAATTAAAGCCCAATCACTAAAACAACCCTGGAATTAGGAAATGTCATTTCAGGTTGGTTTTAGATATTTCTTTACCTAACAAAGATAAGGACTCCTGAAACTGCCTGCTAAGGCTTGCCAAAGCTTGCCAGTCAAACCCATACCACCCATGTGCTCCTAGATCTACCTCAGTCCAGCTCCTACAGGGTGTTGGCCTTCCCCACACATTTTCTCCCTGGTGTGAATTGCAATGTTTCAGAGCACAAGAACAGACATAAGGAAGCATCTCCCATGCTTACTTCCAGATATCCAAAACAGGTTACCAAGGGAAAGACCCACAGTGTTGAGGCTGGAGTCTTGGAGGCTGCACTGCACCTCCATCATGAGAGATTCAGGGCTGATGATGAGACGCTAGAGATTGGGAAAGAATGAGGAAGATGGGAGAAACTAGACAGGGAAAGACAACTGGAGGGAGCAGAAAAAGATACTGTGAAAGGAAAAAGCCCACAACAAGGCAAGGAACAGAACTATGTCTGTGCATCTGCCCTTCAAGGGTAGCAGAAAGCAGCTAAAATAAGGCTAAAATAAGTGAAGGATCTAAGCTGTAGAATAACAGAAACAGGCTGCAAAATAGAAGGATGTAACCTCTTATCAGACATCCCCCACTCCAGTCTGAAATGTAACACACAGGGCTGGATCTCAACATCAATACTCGCTTCCTGCCATTGCAGCACACTGAGGCATGGTATTTAAGAAATGCACATTTTATTGTTGGACCACCCTGGGTAAGATAATGGAGTATAACCTGAGATTGCCACCAAGCTGTCAGTTTTACAACTATCCCAGATAACTGAGTAGTTCACATAGCAGCTATGTGAGAGTTAGTGTTTCCAGATTTCTTTTTCGGCTTGCTCATTTAAAGGGAAATAAAATAAAATAAATCACTAAATAGAAAGCTCTTAAAAAATTGTATTTGCAAAGTCAGACATATGGTAGTAAATGTCTAAGCTGACATTGTCTGTGTAACCTTTAGCTTTTATGGTAGAAAGATACCTAAAATATTTTACATTGAAAGATAGAATCCTTTAAGATTTAGTAAAAGATTGCTAAACATAACTGAAATTACTTCATTAAAATAAGCATGAACTTCCTCACTTGAAGCAGATTGTGAAGGAGAGGAAGGCATTAATCTACGTGTTGCTTCATTCAACATAAAAAGAACGAGGTCAATAACCTCTAGTGAAAAATGGAAAAAACATTGTTTTGCAACACAAATGGTAGGAGTTCCCTTTTTTCCCTGTGACAGATAAATGAAATGATAAGTCAGCTACTTTTCTGAAAAGAGGATCTTTGCCAGTGGTTTTGATTTACGGGGCTCTTGAGTTTTCCGAGACAGTTAAAATTTCAGGCAGGAAATTGCTTCTTTTCTTTTCCTTTTAAGCCTCAAAGGATAAGAATGTATTTTTAATATCCAAGTCTTGCGTTAGTTTCTAAGGAAAAAAAAGTAAATCTAATACTAGAGAAGTCTAACTGTTTACCATTCACATGCTTGGATACATCCCACTGATAGACAGCCAAGAAATTCAAAACACATGACATCAGGGCTTTAACTCCAGTTTCTGGTGTTAATTTTTAACTTGCTCAGCATCAAGTGGCAGAAACCAAAAGCATTTAAAGATCCCATTATTTTTTACTCAGATTTTGCTGTCATGACTTCACTTTCCCAAATAGTCAAGCAGCAAACTTAAGTCTCTGCTACAAACCATAGGTTCTCTCCTTAGCCGTACATTTAAGCCTAGTCAACAGACCCTGGTACACTGGTGACATACTCCTACCTGGAAAGATTTGTGCTCTTCTGATTACTTGAGACGTTCAGAACAAATTAAGGGAAGCAGAGGGTATTTTTGCTTATTTTCCTCCTGACACTGCTTTTTACTTTACCAAAAGTTTATTTTCATGTTAGCCTCTTGCAATCCAACGTAATGGCAAGTGCCAAGGCTCAGGAAGCATCCAGGCCACCCCAGGGACAAGTCACCTACTGCACGCACAGCCTCTGGGCTGCATCAGCACTATACACTGTGCTGCTGAGGGGGCACTGGGACAGCATCTAACCTTCATCTCCTCCTGCCTGCCTCCTCCACTGCGTAGAAAGGGACAGAAAAAGAGAAAAGCAGCATATTTCTAAAATTCAGCTGGGAACTAATGTGTCCCTTTCTTAAACGTGTAAGGCCAGACAGGACTTCTTACTTTTCGGCAGGAAGGGCTCTATTTCAGAGGGTACTTCAGCACCAAGTTTCTAACACTCGATCGGCTGCACACGGCTGCCACCTCCTGGCACAAATCTAATTTCGTGTGATCTCAGAAGGTGCAGTCTCCATCATCAACAGAGCAGCGCTTATCAAGGCAGCTGTAGACATACCCATGCAGTTCTCTAAAATACTTCCTATGTAAAGTTCCCTTGTTTACATGATATCCTTCCAGTAATAAGGAAGGTAACCATTTATTTTGTCAACGATGCCAGACAAATGACAGTTAAAATTACTGTTTACTAGCAAGGGTGGGTAAATCTCCCAAAAAGCTACAGCTAAACACTCAACTGCCATTTGGCAGCTACATGTCTAGGAATGGTATCACATACTTTCTAATCGTTCTGCCTCGTTGGCCACATTAATGATTTTTGCAAGCATAGCCTACCCAAACAACAGGGGTGGAACAGATAAGGTGTTAGCCATTTCTCCCTTCAGGAGCAACTCATCAGCCCAGCTCATGGAGTCTTATTACTGAACCAAATTAGTCCTGCTAAAGAAGAGCATATTCTAGGATGCTTCCACAAACTGCTTCCTAGACTCAATGGTGAGGGAGAGGGGAAATCTGCTACCTCAGAACTATTTTCCAGTTCTGAAAGTTCTCTACCAGGAGCTGGGCCACAGGCTAGAATTTAGTCCTGTCCTATCACCGATGACTGGAGGAGCCCTGTGGCAGAGGTAACAGTTGACTGCACTCAGAAGCTGTCTTTTGATACAGGTAGGCCAAACATAATTATTCACTTAGCTGGTCAGCAGCATATCCCATCCCATCCCTTGCTGGATGACAAGGTTTGAAGGAAATACCCAGCTATGCTCCCTAACAAAAGAGGTGCAGGCATCAGGACAGAAGGCTCAGGATGCCAGCACCTACAATGAGAGCTGTTAGAGTCAGTTTTATTGACCTGGTTGTATCAAGGTCACTTTGGAAGGTGCTTTATAATCCACTCAGATGGAGATCAGACAACAGATATCCTCATATCGGCCATTGCAGTGGCTACAGAAAGCTCTTGGCTGACTTTGTTCAACCATTGCAAGCAGACTGCAGTGTTCTTACCTGTGTACTGCTGTCCAGAGCTCATCTCCTGCTCCCTTGTACCCCATGCCTCAGGCTGTGCACGCTGCCAGTTACGCAGGCACTGTGCCTGCCCTGCTTGCAGAGCTGTATTAGTACATTTGCTCCTTATATACCACCACTGTGCAGAAATCTCCTTCTGGTGTCAGAGATGTCAAATGGAAAGCTGCACATGGCATCTATGCCAGGTACTTTAAGTCATTGCACAGCTCTTGTGTGTAACAGGAACAGAAACCAGTCAGGCTGGACTTCAAAATATCATTAGGATGTGGAATCTCACAATTATTAATGATATAACTCCACTGGAATTGGTTTTGTTGTTGACCTCACACCATGAGGTCATGGTATTACCTGTTGTTAGCGATATGACCTTCAGAGAGCCTGACTACACAGAAGCGATGCTTCTTTCTGCTGTGCTAGCCAAACATCTGCAACTTGCATTTAAGGGCAGTTTTAAAAGGCAGAAATGGATTCATTTAGCACCAAAAAAAGAAACCGTGATTTCCCAACGTTTGCTGATAGTCAGAGCTGAGATACTGTGAATCACTGCCGAAATGCCTGTCTTCAACTGGAAGCATGCTACCTTCAGCAAGAAGAGTTCATATGCATTTCCTAGAGTCCTATCCATTTTCTTCTTTTTGCCAACCTAGAAACAACTTGCTACCTATTGGCACAAGCAGTTCACTCAAGTTTTCCAAAAGCAGCACCAGTCGTCAAGAATAATAGGTTCTTCCAGAGACTGACACTGATTTTACCTACAAATTGTTTTTTCCTGTCTTATCACAAGACAATGGAATACAAATTCTGGTTAGCACAATTAGAAAACAAAATAAGCTTTCAAGTACCAAAGAGCACAAATAATTAACATATGAAAAACACACAGAAGAGTTCTTGCAGCGTGTATTGTTTTAATTTCACTCTATTTACCTTTGCCCCCCACAACTGCCAACACTTTCACAGAATGATAATATATGTGATCTTTAACAATGATTGATTTGTGATTCTTTAGCAGTTCTGTTGATAAGTATCCTCAAACATGAATGTACTTGCAGCCTGAATGTACCAACTGTTGGCCAGGATTTACAAATGTCTATAATCTCACTATTTACCATTTTCACAGGTCTCCTCAAAGCAGGAGGAAACATGCCCATAAGACTAGCAGAATCCCATTTATCCCAGTTTTTTAGATAACATCACATTTGTTTGGATATACGTTTAAAGTGCATTCAGTTTAGCACCACCCACTAAAGACTCAACTTAAACATAATAGGGCCATTATCAAGGGAAATGTCTTAAGTATAATAGGAAGAGAAGTCTATACAGGACTAGACAGATTAATTCTGTCTTTTCAGTATAGGGGCTGCCATATCAGGCAACACTATTCCATATACCTCTGAGCTGACAAGGACCTAGATACCTGCTTGCAGAGCATAAGAGATCTTTAGGCTGAGGCCCAAGAGCATCATTACATTTTATTCCCCAGCCTGCACTAACACCTTCCTCTATAGAACATACTGTTCTAAACACCTAGAACGGCTCTAGCAAGCATCAAACAAGTTCTGTAGAACTATGCTCAATTAGCACAGTAGCCACCTGAAAAGTGAAATTTCCCTAGCACAGAGTTTCATACTGACCTGATGTTCAGCCATGAGAGCATGGGAGTTGTACCTCCACCAACAATCCACACAGTGAAAAAGACGATGAGGAGAGTTGTTGAGAACATCATTTGATGTGAGTAGGTAGCAGTATCTCGTATGGCCAAAGCAAATGCCATGGCTCCCCTGAGACCTATGCAAAAGAATGAAATAGCAGGGCTTCAGTAGTGCAACCACACCTATTTATAACAGCATCTTTCCTTGCTCCCTCCCTGCTACACAGGCACAGCGACAGGCAGAAAGCACTAGGCCCTGGCAAGTTTTAATTCCCACAGGTTCTCTGATAAATTATGCTTTGGGATGATCTAGAACATAATTTCCCCTGGTAGTTTTCTGTAGCTTATAGAATTCGCAAGTGCTAAGAAAAGGTGCAAATATTTCCAGAAACTAACAGGAGAGAAATGCATAAACAAACAAGTTGAGGACAACAGGAAAACAAGTTATGGAAATCAAGCAGCTCCCCAGATCCAAATGGAAATGCACATTTTTCCAGATTCCATAACTGAATCATGAATTCTTGATATGAAGTTGTTACCAGCTGGAAAAATATTCCAGTTAGTAACATGTTCAGATGGAGACTATATTCCTCTTCCTTCCTCCCAGCCGCTGACTACGAAGCTCCATCAGCAAGGACAAGCCATGACATTTGGCCACCTGCAGAGTTCTTAAGAGGGGTAAATCACAGGATGGTTAAGATTGGAAGGGACTTCTAGAGGTCATCTAGTCCAATTTCCCTGCTCAAACAGGGTCATCTGGAGTAGGTTGCCCAGGACCATGTCCCGATGGCTTTTGAATATCTCCAAGGATAAGAGATGCCACAGCTTCTCTGGGCAACCTGTGCCAGTGCTTGGATACAGTAAGAAGTGTTTCCTGATGTTCAGAGGGAACCTACTGTATTTCAGTTTGTGCACTTTGTCTCTGGTCCTGTGACTAGGCACCACTGGAAATAGCCTGGATCTATCTTCTTTACATCCCCCTCATGTAGAGAGGCATCCCTGGCACTTCTTGAGGATGCACATGTTTAGACACACAGGCACACACTCCATGATTTGCTTTAAATTACAAACTTGGAAAGTTATCTGTGTGACAGAAATTGTAAGGGAGTTTGAGTCCAATACTTTGCTTTCTCCCAACTATGTGGGAGAGGGCACCCAAAAATACACCTTGATTTTCTCGGCAGATGCACAATATTTACAACATCTCAGCTAGAAATAACCTTTTGGAAGAGATACATCCCAATTCCCCCATCCCCTTCAGATGTATTTCAAAATGAAAAATACTCTGTTCCCAACATGAGGTGACTGTTTGCTGCCAGCAGCAAACATTTTGAGATGTCACTCTTCCCAGACATGACACACTTTCTGCAAAGGTTGAAAGATACCTGATGAGATGCTGCAACAACCAGTCAGGGTCTATTCAGGAGTAGAATGGATGTGGATTATAAAAGCAGAAGGTGGTACCATAAATTCCTTTTGAGTTAAAAGTAAGACTTTTTGCTTTACCAAACATTTTTGATTTACCTGAAAACATCATCATGTGCTGAAAGTTCCAGCTGATCTTATGCCTTCTGCCCAGATTCAACAAGAAGGAGAGAGGGTAGATATGTGCAGCTCTGCCAAAAAAGATTGCAATCTGTTCACAGTTGAGGGTTAAGGATTTCACTTTCCAGAGGAACGCGCTCTTGGGTACCTGGCTCTAACATAAAGCTCCTGTTTTAGTGAGAGGTTTACAGCATGATATCAAAAGTTCTTGTTATCTCTATCTATATAAAACAGACTTTTACCGACTATGTGCACACATAGCTCATGGCACAGAAAGCAATTTTTAATATAACCAAGTTATTTTAATTCACAGTGAAATTACACTTATTAAAATTAACAGTTCTAGAAATGAAGAATTTCCTTAAAAAATAATAATAATAAAAAAACCCCCACCACACATAACCAAATGGTGGTGGTGATAGTTGTTATGTGTTTCAGACCAACAGAAATGCAGGCCTATGTACAGAAACCAACAGAAGCCCAGAAAGTGACCACTCCATTATGGCTCCTGCAGACACAAAAACTCCTACTGAGTTGCAAGCACTTAAAAATACAGTTACTAAGATGATAAATCCAAAACCCACTTGTTAGCACTAGAATTAAGTTTAAAAGACTAGTAAAGAGTATTACAGAAATTCATGGTAGTAAACTCCATGTCCTTTCTGTGGTGTAAAACATCCAATGGTTCCAATAGAGAAACAGAAAGTTTAGTACACCCTCTACTGTCTAAGGAACACTTTGGGGTAAACTAGAGTGATAGGCTGAAATACAATAAAACACCAACACAACTAGAAGACAAACAAACACTGATCATTTGCTGCAGGGACAGCAACATTAGAAGAATGAAACAACATTTTTGTGGAAGAGAAAGAAAACCATATATAAGAGCTATAGACACCACTGTGTTGCTGCCATAACTAAAGCAAATTAATACTACTGGCAGCAGGAAGTTGTGTCTCCAGGAAAATAAGATGTTTATTATTACTTTGTACAAAAAGCTTAATGTAATCATTCTAAACAACTTTTATAGCAGTACTTTTGCGTGCTGCAGACATAAGACATCAGAAGCCGTCATGACCCATGTATGCAGGAACAATAGCTAGTATTCTGTCGATGACACTGAAGCTTTAACACTGTCCAACTTTTCTCTTTCAACAGCTAACAATGGCTCTGCATTTCACACCTGCAAGGTGTGAACTCATAAGGGACAGTAGCTGTTGAGGCAAAAAGTGAGTGCTAGTACAGCTGATCTCCTCACAAAGGTAGAAAAACACTCAAGAGGTAACAGAGGTTGAGCAGAGTGGTAGAAAAAGATGTGGAAAATGTAATAAAAGGTAGGTGGGTAGGAAGAGAAAGTAACAAAACGAATACTGAAATCAAACCCAAGACTGATAGTGTAACCTGAGAGAGGATGGAAGACCACAGCAAAGATGAAAAATTCCAATGGTTAGCGTACCAGATGCAACTCTTCTGCTCATGTGTCTCCAGTGGCTGCAGGGTTCTGGAGCACTTTTTAGGTCAGAAGAACAGGCATGAGGAGACACAGGAGGACATTTATTACTGCTGCAGAAAAAAAGTGGCCAAAGGAAAATAAAGACAAATCAGATAAATTCGCAGAAGCAGTAGAGAGAGATGAGAAAATAGTAGAGAGAAGGAGAGAAAAGTAGTGCATTTCGCATTAGGCCATCTTTATATGTCCTTTCACTGAGTTTTATCTCTGCAGCAGGCAGAGAAAAACCAAAACTGGAAAACCAGCTCCCATTGCTTCATGCACATTTTTAACCGCTCTGAAATTTCAAGCAGCCAGAAATACAGTGAAAAAATAGTTACATAAGGCTTTTCTACAGGGGCAGCATGCAGAGAGCAATCTAGTGATTCCAAGCTTACATGAGTGCAACTATACTACAAAAGTGTTCAGTTCCACGAAATAATAGTCATGTATCAGTCAGCCAGGGACAATGGGAACTGGATACCCAGCTCCAACACCAGCCCTTTCAGCAGTGCGTACCCTTCATGTCACGGTCCTTACCACAGCTCAGTTCCTTCTCCCTCCCATCTACTGAGATCCTGACCTCTACCTTTGGGGCACTATTCAACTGTCCTCCCACAATCCTCTACACTCACTTGAGGCTTGCTTGCCTTCTTCAAGGGAGAAATAAATGATCTAATCCTTTTCTAGGCTTCCAAATTCTGAATACCAAAGCCACACAAGCACTGCTAGCTGTCAATAGTCAAGTCACGCAGTAAGGCATATCAATTTATCTATTGAAACTATACAACTTCTAGCACTTGCTCAGGTACAGAGCCAACAACTGTGTGGCACAGAGGCTTTGATGTAAGGGGTAACCACAGGTTGTTCTCAAAATTATTGTGCCTGCAAGACAGGGGAACTCAGGTCAGCCACCATCCTCTATGTGGTAAAGCCAAGAGATACCACAAGTTTTCAGGTACATAAGACAGAGAAACCTCACACAAAGCAAAAAAGGATACAAAAGCTCCAATGATGAAAACTGGACTGAATATGTGTTTCTGGAAAGTAAACAGTGCCAAACCCATATAAGAAAATATGAAGTTCTCAGCCAAGAAGTGCAACACCTCAAAGAGCTAGGAACAAAACAGTTACATGTTAAAGGCCAAGCAATAAGGATACTTTTCAGAGAAAATACATGGACTACTACAGCAATACACCATATAAAAGGTGAAAGACAGTCTTGCCTGCTTAGTGCGACTTCTTGATTCAACCGACAAGTTATTGTACGTATAATGTGCCTGGGTTATTCCACAGAAGAGGACAGCCACCACACCTGTGAACAGAATCACATGTAAAAATCAGCCTGTTCTTGTGTGAGCTCAACACATTTTTGCCTTCCCAAGTTCTATTAAATTTATACAGAATCCTTAACCTTGAGATTTTTATGAACCTTATTTTCAAGTGAGTTAGATTGCAGGTTGGGGAGGCGGTGTTTGAACTAAACCATTGCTCTTAAAAGCCTTTGGTACACAGTGAACTGCACCCTCAATGACATTGTACAGAATGTAAAAAAAAGCTTTAAATACCAACACCATGTTTCTCTTAGAAAATCTTACAGAACGAAGTGGAAAAATAGCTGCTGAGCTGGACAGGACTTCTGTTTCCATGTGCTTGAACCCAACAACTCACCAGTAAATCCGCAAGCTTCTGCAAGCAAGAAGGTGCTCCAGGACATCAAGAAGAAGAGAGCCGTTTCCAGCAGGGGGAAGCAGTGCAACTTGGTAAACTTCGTCACGTTAAGTCATTTGTTAAGGGGTCAAAAAATAAATTCGTTGGCTTCTCTGTACCCAGTATTTACGGGGAACACTTATGTGCTAACAACCAACACCCCGTGGAAAACAGAACGTTTTTACTGCTGAAAAATAAATTCTATCAGATCAAGACGAAACTTCAGAATTAAGGTCTCCCTTTGGAAACAGTCAGTTTGGGATATTTTTGCTGCATATCAATGGCATACCTGTGGCTCCCTCTCTTTGAGGTAGTATCTCATTCTATGCCACGTTTCCCTGCAAAGTGCCAGCAGGGAAGGGATATATACCTGGCGTGCCTTTAGATTGTTGTCTTGGGTTTTGTTTGTTTGGGTTATTTTTGTTGTTGTTTAGGATTTGGTATATCCCCCATAGGATCCCTTCTATCTTTAAATAAAGCATAAAATACATTCAGAAGCATGTAATTCACAGTAATTCTTGACTACAGCAACTCCAAGAAGAAGTAGATTTATCAGAATTTTTCTGCTCAGATTTGCTGACAAATCTTCTTCAGCAAGTGTGGCTTCCTCTGTGTTTTCAAGGCAAAAGAGAAATCCTGCCTACAACAGAATATATTTGCTCTCCTTGTATTGATGTGTTTTAAAGTAAAAGCCAATTCAATCAGAGCAGCTCAGTTTTTCAAGAGGAAGAACAAACAAGTCTATCTTCCAGAGGAGAGCAAAATTTGAGGAATGTCAGACACACACTAAATTAACAGTTCATACAGCTACTGAAGAAGTGGAACAGATTTCAGTAGTGTTAAATATAGCTTTTCACATACTACAGAAGTTATTCACATATTCATAGAAGCTTGGGTTGGTTTTTTTCCCTCATTACTACACTTTGGCAGCAGGTGAACACTGAACAGCTCACTGTGGCTGAGGTGCAGACAGCGATGTGCAACTCTAGTAGAAGACACAGAAAGAAATCATGGCTAGCAGATGTGGTAGAGAGATCCTTGGTCTTTCTGAAAGCTGACAACTGGCATGATGTTCTCTGAAATCCAAGTGTGAGAACAGCAAGACAAGGGCACTTGAAACAGCAAGGTGGTAGCACTCTCCCCTGCTCTTACGAAGGCAGTCAGTACCTCAATGGACACATCAAGACTGCACCGTCATCCACCATTGCTCTTCATGAGTAACACAGCCACATCCTGGGCTCTCTGCAGCACCACACAATCTAAAGCTAATGGCAGCACTGCTGCTTGACGAGTCATGGCTCATAACAGGATACGGATCTTAAAAGCAATGAGCAGTGCTGGTTTTCACAGGAAATTCTCAGGACCTGGGAGGCGTGGGGCTCACAACACCCTCAACTGCTTCCTGAAAGCAGCAGTCAAGTAGCCCAGAAGCCCCTGTGGGAACAGGCTTCTTCAGGCTTTATCACAGAATATCACGTAATTCACAACAAGCCACGAGCGATTAACACCAGAGGCAAGCAGCTGGCAGTGTTTCGGTGGAAGCCTGGTTAGGATGAAGCAATCCTGAAGCCAGCCACCTGCTCCCCACCCACACCTACTTCTTGTTGGCATTCTCTGCTAACTTGAAGGGGGACAATAGGTCTGAAACATACAGTGCAGCTACAACTTCAGCTGTGACCTTACTTCATCAGAAGGTTGCTCTCGAAACAAAAGCCCAAACCATCATTACAAAAATATTATTCTCCACGACAGTTGGCTTTACACCAAATATAAACCTCAACATTTTTAAACAACTGTTAATTCTCCGCACAGTCATTTCTCCACATAAACCATGTCTCCAAAACTTTTGAGGATGTACTGTTACACTCAGTTGAATTTGCTCCCCTTGCTCCTCCAAGACCTATTTTTTAGGATCATGCTTTTGAAGCAACAACATCCACCATAGCAACTGTAGAAGCCATTTTCCCACAGAGCACTCAGATAATCCCACCACAAGCTCATCCCAATGCCTCTCAAGAGGCATTCATGGATGCTTCAGAAACTGGATAGCACAATTAGAGAGGAAGAGGTTGAACTTTGTTCACCTGAAGTTAAGCAAGGGCCATTATCAGAACCAATTCCTCATTTTCAGTCTATTCTGGCAGCTTTGAGAATCAAATTCTTTATTCCCCTTGCTGTTATTATAAGCAACCATACCAAAACATTTCATTAAATCTGAAATGAAAACTTGTGCTCATTATTTTGCAGGAAGATGAAGATGAGAAAAGTAAGGAAAAAAAATTTATTATTTCATATAATCGACCAAATTGAAGTGTAAATTCAAATTAAATTATTGTTTCTGTTTTCTTAACTTTGTTTATTCCTTAGGCATGGCCTTCTGCTTCATTTCAACCAGGCAGATTCTGCAATTTGCAGAGAAAATACAAAGTGGTACAATAGTTAACTGCTATAAAAATAACCACAGAGAGTGAGGTCAAGACAGCTTGCTGAAAGTCAGAACAAGTCCTTGTATATTATCTGCATCATATTTGGAAACTAAGTATTCTCTGTTTTCAAAAGGCAATGCATGACTGCATGAAACCCCTCACTCAGAGAGAGGTGCTTCACAGCTAGTGGAATAACAGTCTATTAACTTCATTCATTACTTAAGATGCAGGCTATAAGCAGCTACAAAGTGTAAAATGCTAATTTACAGTTTGCTTCTACATTATTGCATGACATTAAGTATTTTTCCAGAAGAAAATAAAGTTGTATAATAGAGCAACCCAACCAAAACAACAGAAACACACACATAAACCACTAGAGGCTGCCTTCTGAACAGCCTCTCCCCTCCCAACCTCATACCACCTCCTGAGCACAAACATTAGAAACAGCAAGAACCAACTGCTGCCTCAGAGCCATGATTTTACAAAATGGATCTGAATGCATTTCAGCTGTAATTAGTACCCAACTGGCAAGCCAAACACCACAGCAACAGCATTTGAGCAGCTGGAGCTATGGATGGCCAGTAGCCTAAAAGCCAGATGAAGAATCATGTTGCTGGGTCACATTGATTGTGGATCAGTGCAGCTGGAAGACCAAACATTAAAGCATCAACAGCACATCTTCCCCCTTACTCCTGAAGCGTTTCTATTATGCAGAAATATCACACAGATCTGCACGGTGTGTATATAACAACATACAGTTGAGACATTATTGCTTATGAAGAAGAGTCACAGGTTCATAATTACTGTATGAAATAGCATGTTCTACCCCTTTAGGTCAATGTCCAGAAGTCTAGGCAGATCAAAGCAATTTGGGATATGCACAAACATGGTTATACTAGCCAGTCTGAAAGCAAAGAACTTTAATTTTTTTCGTGAAGAAGTGTCATGATTTCTGGAGCACATCAGGCTTAACATCTACTGCCTGAGCTTGAAACAAAACCCACAAAGACTGTTTGCTGAGCACCTCAGAGCTCTAATCAAATAGCAGCAGTAAGATTCCAGAGAACAGGACAGATCATGCAAGCATGTTATGATGTTAACTCTGGTAGAGATACCGTCTTATCCAAGACAGATAACATTAGAATACCAGCAGAAAGTTTAAGTGCAGGAACTGGAGAACCCTACGGAGTCAGAAATACCTGTGAACAATTTTGCTGAAGACAGAATCAAACAGCAGTTATCATAGGAGATGTCTTTCAAATCTAATAATAGAAACTATTCTTTTGATTTCATAAAAAGAAGCTGAAGATTAAGGCACGTCCATTTAGGGCCTCCCCTGCGCTTCTAGCATGTAGCAATATTGTGTTTACTGTACTACTTCTAGTGTAGCTACTGTTATATGGGAAAAAGTTGATTTCTGTGGGTACCTAAAATGCTTTTCTATAGATGAAGGTCACGTGAATACTGATATCTTCACACTCATTAAAACAAGCTAGCATCAATTTTGCTAGAGCTGGAAACAAGAGAACCTTGTTTATACCTGAATGTGTCATCTAGTCTGGAAGAGCTAAATGTGAAAAAGGATATCAGAGCTGTCACTACTCCTGTCACTGCTCCCATCATGAAAGAACCACTGAATATTCCCAGAAAAACACCGACAGACTTGAAAAACGCTGCTGCATCAAAAGCATGGGTATTTTCACCTGTTGGCTGGTATGCAACTATAGATCTGGAAAGAGAGTAACACAAAGAGAAGTTAGAAGTGCAATCAGAAAAGTTGTATGTCAAGTAAAGTTTTGGGTCAACAGCTGGCTGAACATGAGCCACCAGTGGCCAAGAAGGCCAGCAACATCCTGGCCTGTATCAGAAGTAGTGTGGCCAGCAGGATTAGGGAAGTTATCATACTGTTCTCAGCACCGGTGAGGCTGCACCTTGAATATTGTGTTCAGTTCTGGGCCCCGCAGTACAAGAGAGATATTGAGGTGATGGAGTGGGTCCAGAGAAGGGCAATGAAGCTAGTGAAGGGTCTGGAGCACAAGTCCTATGAGGAATAGCTGAGGGAACTGGGGTTGATTAATCTGGAGAAGAGGAAGCTCACAGGGGGATCTCACTGCTCTCTGCAACTACCTGAAAGGAGGTTGTAGTGAGGTGGGGGTTGGTCTCTTCTCCCAAGTAATGAGTGATAGGATGACAGGTAACAGTCTCAAGCTGCACCATGGGAGGTTTAGATTGGATATTAGGAAACATTTCTTCACAGAAAAGGTTGTTGAGCACTGGAACAGGCTGCCCAGGGAAGTGGTGGAGTCACCATCCCTGGGCGTATTTAAAAGATGTGTAAATGTGACACTTAGGGACATGACTTAGTGGTGGACTTGGCAGTATTAGGTTAATGGTTGGACTTTATCTTAAAGGTCTTTTCCAACCTAAACAATTCTATGATTCTATAATAGTAACACCTGAGCGGTAGAGGAAACAATTTTACACCAAACTCAAATTTGCCATTCTGGTGTATGTATGGATGGGGATCTTGGCAAGTGTTTGCAATGTTTATTAACTCAGTTCAAGACAACCCACGTAAATTTAAAATACCATTTCTCAGAAAAAAGTGGGTTTTTTTAAATAAATACAAAAAACAAGTAAGTAATTTCAGAGTAGAAATTCAGGTAGTTACTTACGAAGATAATACAATGGCAACAGCATCATTCAACACGCTCTCTCCAAACAGAAGTGCATAGAGATCAACATCAGCATGCAGCTCATTAAATATTGCTAGCACGGTAACTACAGAAAGAAAAGAGAAAAACCACATTGGCTGACTTCAGGAACAACTGCATGAGCTGACAGAGCTGACTCTAGTTTGCCTAAAGCAACAAACCCTAGAAATTTAAATACAAGATCAAAACTGGGAAACAGACTAGTCACGTTTATCTATAGGTAAGCAATTCCATCACCAGTTTTTTAGGACAGCTCCATTAGGAGGTGGCTCTGTTGTCCTCCCTCCCATCTGTACAGTGTATAAAGAAAGCGCCCATGATCAAGGGGTATGGGGCAGACAAAGCACTTCTGCCAAAGCCCTTATATTGTCATTTTTTCTAGAACATGTTCCATGTAAGATAATCTAAAAAACACTGTGCAGCTCTTGCTACTTTTAAAGGCTGTATGGGTTGTTGACACAGGTTTATCATTTCAGCCATTGTGAATTAGTGCTAATAATCCTAAGTGTTTCCCTAAGCACACTACAGGAGTGCGCATTTACACATTATTTGAAAAGGGCAACACTGCTAAATATTCATAAAAATTCTTTCAAGACATTGCAGACTGAGATGAAAGACCATGATCTGGAAGATGTTCCTGCACATGAGCTTCAGAAATCACCTGGTGATTATTTGCATAAGTTCTGTGTAACGACCAGATGTTCAGAGCTCAGCTCAGTTGCAGGAGCTACTTCCCATTTTCACACGAATCATCACTGAGCGCCTCAAATAAGGTGTTTTCAATGTCAAGCTTCATACTTCACCACTCCCTAACCCCAGCCTCTGACACACATGAGCTCTCCAGACTATCCTGTCAAACAGAGACATTTTGCTGAACTGTAAAGGTTGGACTAGATTATTTTGGCAAAAGCTCAAATTATTCTGCCACTAGAGCATTCTTCTGCTTGAACTTGTATTACGTTCATTTGAAGGAGGAAAAAAGTAACCACCCTATGCCTAAAGAGCCTTGAAGCCTTAAATATTGCTCTTAAATTATCCAATGTTCCAAGCAATGCAGCTAAAGGAGGAAGTCCTGCTATCCAGACAATGTAATAGTTTCATCTATTTGCAGTCTTAAACTTGATGCACACTAAACATAAAACCTACTGGGGCAAAAAAAAATTTGAACAGTAAAGTTACATTTTTCCCCAAACATATTATCATGTCATATCAGTCCAGCACCAAACCAAGAACAGCTTTCACAACGCTGAGAATTTGCATGCATTTCAGAGAAAAGGATCAGAGATACTAGCATAACATAACTGCAAATCATGTGCTGATAGTATTTTTGTGCTATGCAGCCAAAAATTGTAGCAATAGGATTATTTTGGAAGGTTATTAAAAAAAATGTTCAGCGAGCTACCTGGATCAGTGGCAGATATGATAGCTCCAAAGAGGAGGCAGTCTGTATAATAGAATTTACCAGAGAGCTGACCCACCAACTTCATTAGTTTCACAACCCCATACATGAGATTCCTGAAGATAAAGAGGATAAAATAGTTCAAGTCAAACAAGTTGGTGCATTTCAGACAGGTAAAAGAAAAGCACAAGCAACAGTCCTTCAGGCAGGCTTGATTATGCTACAGCTCTGTGGGATACTGCCACAGTTTAACACTAAGCTCTCAAAATCAATTTTCCTCTTTTATCTAGGAATGGAGTCAAGTGATACATAATCTAGACTTTATAATCTAGAAGTCATAATTTAAAAGCATGTTCACTCAACTAATACACAGAATCTACAGATTGTTTCAATTTTCCACCAAAGGGAACATTTCCCTACTCAAAATTCCCCCCAGTATTGCTTCTCCCAGTGCAGTACACAGGCCAAAGACTACACAGGCTAAAAACAGCCTTCAAAATATTTCTCTGGTGAAATTCTCAAGACAAACCAATGTCACCTATGCAATTCAGGATTTCTGTGTTTCAGAATATTCATACACCAGACAGTAATATTAGCAGCATAAGAGATTGTACGCAAGTAAACAAACGTGACTAGCTACTAAACTATATGTGTGTGTACAGATATACATAAAATGATATATACACACACATGTACACAGAGAGAGTATGTGCATGCATGTGGGCACTGAAAGGGACATCTCAAAAGTCTGGTAGCTAAAATTCTATTACAAGTAACGTCCACAATTCAAGTTAAAGTCAACTCCAGTAAGAGTCTAACAAGGTGGGGTTTTTTGTACTGGACCATTACATCAGAAACCCAACACTGCTCTTTAGTACTGTGGACTTGTCAAGTGATTCAAAATTGACAATATAGTTTCAAGAGATACTATCATTTAGAAGTGGGATAAGTCTCAGCAAAAGCTGCATTTGCATTTTGTCTGGAGGATACACAGATAAAATCCTCAAATTACAAAATTGATGCAATGTGGCAATCTCAACATATACTTTATCAACTTGAACTTTAGTATAGAATGGAACTAATATCATAAAGTTCACTTACCCAATAATAAAACAAGAGACTGCTGTTCCTAAAAAGGCATAAGCCAAGATGGACCCCAAATTCCTGAAAAAGTGTCTCTGCATAGGAAGAAGAGGTTTATAATTTTAAAATAAGTTTTATCACCTGTTGAAAGCACAAACATGCTATTACATTTGCATTAATACACAGAAACTCTCCTCCATTTCAGAAGAATGCTCCAGTTACTGCAATGTAAATTCTGTCCAACTTCAATAAACTGAATAATTCAAATCTGAACTATCTATTAAATCCTACATGTAGCTCACAGACAGGAAGTTTTCCACACAGGTGTTTTCATAAGAGATGTTAGAGTTGGTGGCAAAGCTGGAAACCAGTACCGGTCCATGGTACCTTCAGTTAAGAGTGGAATACGGACCCTTCTGCCATCCAGGATCTCCACATCACATCACATCCCCACTGGGACTCAGGTTTGGGTCCACTTCTCAGCATAATTTACTGCATTTTGAGTTATTGACAAGGACCAAAACAATTCATAGCAGGACATCTTTTACTTTAAATAAAACTCTTAATCACTGGCAAAGTTCAAAGGAAAACAAATCAGCAAGATTAAATAGTTTAATATGTTTATAGTAAAAATTACACTTATTTTGTCTTAAAACAATATGGCCTAACCACCTATGGAGGAAATTAAACTTTTCTTACTACTATAAGAAAAAAAAAAAAAAAAGCTTGAAGTGGAGACTGCACTCCTGAACAAATCATCAGTCTCACATAAAACAGGGATATTCTCCTCAGAAATGGTTACACTTACTTTCTTCAGGCTATAACCAGCATGAAAAATAATAGGAGGCAACAGAATGTTGAAAAAAACTTCTGGGTCAAATGTTACCTAAAAAATAAAATATGAAACTTCAATTAGAAGTAGATATACACAAATTGTTAAGTCTTTTTCCACTTTCATGTTCTGACAACTACTATTTTTGGTTGTTGAAATAGCTAAGTTGACCCTCCAAAATACTGGTCAGCTCTACACATATGCACCAGCAGCAAAAAGCTGCAGCTCTTCTTGGTAATCAGCATCTAGAAAAGACAGGCATTACATCCAACACTAATGATAACTTGCAGCAGTCCCAAACACGGTCCCCTAAGTAAAAAAAATATTCTAATAGAAATGTTGCTGAGGATCTCTTACTGTGGCCCATGATATTCATACATCTGCAGATGAAATGCTATGTTAGCTTTGGTTTCCTGCATGTCTAGACACTGCACAATTATTGTAGACCAATCAAGTCAGATACAAGACTGGTTTTCAAAATTAAGATCACATGTCCCTTCCATGTATTTCAGTAGAAGCTCCAGATATCCATGATAATTATGCATGATAATCCTTTTACAAGGGCATGTAGTGATAGGACAAGGGCAAACGGCTTTAAACTGGAAGAAGGTAGATTTAGATTAGATATTAGGAAAAAGTTAATTTCAGCTAACTTTTGACATCTATAGCAGAGAGGTACATAAAAACAGACACCTAAGCTCTCTTCATTGCAGAAAGAAGTATTTTTTGGTTACAAACCTTAAACTCTCAGTCCTATACTTCAAAGTCTAGCTTTAATACACACAAAAAGTAGTTAATTCCTGACACTGAAGAGAATAAGAAGCCAAATAGCAGATTTGAGTAACAGTTGACAGATGAACTTCACTTTCAGTACTAGGCTGTCTTTTTTGGTGGTTTATGGGGATGTAAGCAGTAACTATTTCCTGACAATAAAGAGATTTTAAAAAGTAGAGAAAAAACACTAAGAATCATTTTTCACTTAGAAATAATAATTTTCTTTATATTGTATTATACAAGGCAATGTCAGGCTTTTATTTTTGTTCAGCTGGTCTTCCTAAATCTTACAGATGTTAGAAACCCACGTTAAGTCTTCAAACGGCAATCAAGGGCTTTGGGAAAGCACTACATACATGCAACAGAGCACAGTTTCACCAGCAGCAATATAATACAGAAGGTGCTTTTGAATTAGGCATTGAAGTGCTGTTACTATAAGGAACACAGACTCTTGGTACTACCTAACATTCAAATGTGATTCAAATGTGGTGGAGGTGGGGAGAAGCAGTGGGACGCATAGATAAAGGGGAAACATTCAGCCAAGCACAAGAAATGGTCTGTCCTCACCTTCCGCAACATGTCATTTTGCTCTACGTTGTGGATCTTCCCAGGGCTTATTTCCCCTTTGAGTGTATACTCAAAGAACTTCCCGCTGACGTTGACCAGCAGCGTTGTAAACGGCCTGTCCTCCTGTGAGCAGCTGAACGGCTTATCGTGGCCGCTGGTAGAGGGAGTCCCATATCTCAAGATCACCCCAACGATGAGTCCTGGAAGAGAGTCAAGAAATCCATGAGGCTGATTTGCTGCTCCTGTACTCAACTTTCTAGTTTCAAATGGGGTCCACAGTATAATGCGTGAGCACCACAAGTGTATGTGTACCATAAACCTTTTGCAGTGAATTGTTACCATCAGCTTCCTTCAGAGGAAAAGACTCACTGCTCACATCAAAGCTACCAATTAAGTTATAAAATCTGGTATCTGTCTGAAATGACAAACAAAGAGACTTCATTTCTTGCTTTGTCTTCCTTACCCTCATTCAAATCCGTAACATGTAAACGCTGAATTACACAAGAGGCTAAACACTAGGACATGCTGCACTTGCCTAAAGACAGAATTGAGTAGATAAACCACTGCCAGCCAATAATGACTGCTGAAAACATATGACCACAACAGAGCTGAAACAGTGATGTTTGTCACAATAATTTCCAGCTGCAGCAAGGATGCAGCTTTTTTGCCTGTCAAATCTAAAAAGCAAACAATGCTTGTTGCACAATCTCCTGCATATTCTGCAAAGTTGGCAACTAAATTTTGGATGACATGCACAAAGAAGCCAGCTATATGTCTTTTTCAAGCATTTTCCACATTTCACAAACCAAAAATAAAGATAAAAAAGATTAATTACAAGGGACCTAAGATTCAAGAATATAAGAAGAATTATTCATCCAGCGTAGATAAAACCCAAACAGAAAACACTATCAATAAAGGATGCATCAAACACAATGTCAAAAAATAATTTGCAATGTAATTGAAGGGCCATGCCAGGAGGCTGGAGAAGCACAAGGTTTTAACTGAGTGCCATTCCTTTTAAAATGTACTAAGAAAAGAACAAGACTCTAGTTCTATGGAGAGAATGTATAAGAACAAAGTGGTTTTGGTCTGGTAAATAAACAATTCAATACCCACTTAAAGGCTCCCCTGTTGCCTTAGGTTGATCTGTGATTTAATCCTGGTTCCAGACAACTGCAAGATGAAGATGAATGTTTGATCCTTTTGTTGACAAGTCAGTAGTCAATGCTGGTTTTGCTCCTTGTGACCCTCACTTTGCAACCATAGACCTGTTTCCCCAGATGGAAAATGAAGCTGACAGGTAATAACCAGAGAATAAATGAGGTATAACAAAGAAAAAAAAAATCCTACCACGTACCACAAAAAACAAACCCAGACAGACTTTTCATGCCATAGCATAAAGAGTAACCAAAATATGTCTGGAAAAAAGCCAACCAAAAGCACACACCTCATTGTCTTCACGTTCACAGTGGAAAGATAGTTTTAACACATTAACTGCTAACAATTTAAAAACAGAGGTTTACACCAACTCGCTCCTAACAACCTCGAGGCCTTTTACAGCTATGCGTGATGGATGCAGCAGAAATGCAGCTCTGCACAAAGTGACAGGTTACAGCCAGTCACATCCAAGCCACCTGCACTACCAGTTATGACTACAGACATCTTCACCAACCCAGGCAGGCAAGAAGCCAAAGCTTCCTGCTGTTCTCACCCCCTCACCCCTGGGAAGAGCTAGGCTTACACACTACATCAGGAAGACTGACTGTGTTAGAAA